CATGTTTTTGGTCTGTTGGGAGGAAACCAGAGTACCTGGAGAAAACCCATACATGCACAAAGAGAACATGCAAACTCCACTCAGAAAGGCCCCCAGACCAGGATTTGAACCTGGGTAACTGCTCGCTGAGAGGCAGCAGCTCTACCAGTTTTGCCACCGTGCTGCGTAAGCAATACATGCTTTATCATCCAACATGGATGTATGTATACCTGGATTATTGAGCATGGACTTTGTTGGTTATGCTTTATCATCATTTCTATAGTAATATAAGTTCATAACATAAATAGAATCAAGTTCATTATTCGAGTACTCTTAAATGCTCCTAATATGAAAGGTCCTAATATTGAATCTTAGCACACAATATAGCAATAGCATTTCACCATTTCAATGTAACTTCAATATAAATGCTTTAATGTTAACACTAGGAGCTAGTTACTTACTGCAACAGGCTTATTTTTCATTATCCAGATCAATACAAATGATGGTATTCAGAAATAGTATAATACCATCTGTGACATTTAGTTTAGAAAAGTATTGTTTGATAATATTTTTTTCTATAAGCACATTCAAATAAATGTATCAGTAACACTGATTTATCACAGAGTCCAATACAATAACCTGGAGGCTAGTGCTAGCATGCTAGCTCCAGAAACAAACAAACAAACTCACCATTTCCCACTTTTATAATACACAGTCAGCTGAAGGTTTTTTCACAAACAAAGACATCAAAAAGTTGAGAGGCATATCATTCAGGAATGGCGACATAGGCATTAGATAAAGGGCTTTTGATGGCTTAAAGCCTACCTGCAGCAGTTAGCCTAGCCTCTCTCACACATAGCCTGGTTGGGAGTAGCACGATATGTTCCGGAAACACAATCCGTACCATGCATTCTCTAGGCGCAGGAGCGGTGCGCCCAGAATTGTCCTATATCTTGTAATGAAGAGGAGCTAAATCTGCGCATGTACAACTTTTAACGAGAGCCTATGGGCAAAGATTTTTGCGCCCCAGAGCGGAAATACATCATCAATTAGAGACGTTTTTTTGAATAAATAACTTTACTCATCTTTAACTATAAAATATTTAATCTTACACAACTAAAAAATATAAACGTATATTTCGACAAATGTAAATGTTATTTTATTTTTTTTATTTTTTATGGCTTATTCAAGGTAATGTGATGAGTGGTGAGTGGTGGGGCAGCACCCTAGCACCCTCTATTGGCCAGCCACCACTGCTTTTGCCTAATTTTATAAAATCAGCCACAAGGCAGTATTAGCCAATGTATATTTTGTGCCAGTTCCAAGCTTGGGTAAATTCAATTCAATTTAGTTTATTTATATAATACCAACTCAACAAAGTTGTCTTAGAACACTTTACAGGAACATTCACATACATAGAAAAGCCAATTAGTAAAGTTTATCTAAGGAAGCCAGCAAACTCATTGAATCTTCACTTTGTCACAGTCTCCCATCCTGAGTAAGCACAATGGCAACAGTGGAAAGGAAAAACTCCCTTTTAAAAGGAAGAAACCTCCAGCAGAACCAGACCCAGGACAAGCGATCATCTGCTTTGACCGGCTGGGTTTGAGAGGACAGAAAGGAGAGACAGACGAACATAGAATGGTTCATAAATGGTGAGGGTTGTGTTGGGAATAGCATCAGACATAAAACACTTGCCAAAACTAACATGCAAGTTCATCTAAACATCATACCAGATTGGTCGAGGCCCGATTTATTGACCACCATCGGTGCTGTTGACAAACTCAGTTCCTGCAGGAATTGTGCCAAATAATTATTATAGGTAAAGTGGTATAATAATATGATAATAATAATAATAAAGTCATTGCACAAAGTTAAGGCAACAGAAAGACTCTGCTACCTTGTTTGGCAAAAACAACAACAACAACAAACTAAGTCATTAGTCATCAACAAATGAAACTTACAGACTTATACAGTCAGGTTCTGGAAAAAAGTCAGTACAGATTTACAATCACCAAACTCATCCACTACAACCATTATTCAGGTTGGTACCATCTGGTAGAAGACTGGTGGTTCCTTTAGCAAAGAAGAATGAGTACAAAATGTCATTTGTTCCCTCTGCGGTGAGTGTACTTAACAGGGTCCTATTTAAACACAGCCTCACTTGACAAACCATTGTCTCAGAGTCAGAGTCAGAGTTTCTTTATTGTCATTCGCACCTCATGTGGTACATGTGGTGGAGCGAAATTATGTACACGTGGTCCCAGTTACATCCAACAATAAAATGTCTAAGAAAAACAGTAATAACATCTAAGATATGAACTAAGAAAAACATCAACTAAATATACACTAA